GTACATCAGTGTCAAAAGATTGCTGTTTCTCTATGAAATTTTTCTTATTTCAAGAAAAACTTAAATTTTTCGGACGCCAAACAATGCAAAATTATTTGAAAAACCTCAGTAATAGTTTATTTGGACTTTTGCTCCTCATAGTGAGCTTCAACTTTTTTAGTACCCGTGGTCAGATAAACGTTTTCAAAAACTATTGAAAATGATTTTCAACTGATGGTAAATGACAATTCTTTACAAATCAATTCCGATCAGCCAATGTACTTTCAAACTACCATAACGTTTAATTAGGAACTCAAACCTACCAGTTGATTAAAGTTTTTGTCAAAATAAAATCCACAAAACTTCCAAATTTTTTTTTTCTGATTTTGTTGTGTTGTTTATTCAAACTTTTCTCTAAAAGAAAACCCTGATATTCATTTTTTTGATGCGCCTTTTGTGGTTCAAAAACCCAAGAAACTTAAAATCAGACTTTTGATAACTTTAAAACTTGTTCAACTTATGTTTCAAGTTTTTCTAACTACCAGTGAATGTTTAATTTATGTTTTAAGTTTTTTCTAACTATCATTGAAAGATGGACTTGGTTATTGAATCATTAATGTGTTCCTTGGGCTTTCCAAAATTATTGACGCTAAAAATAATTTTTACCGAGGAGGCGCAATTAAAAATTCCAATCTTTAATTTTCAGGAAAGCAATCAATTTTCAGCGCAATAGAATTTGGTTTCAGGGATTGAAACTATTTTTCACAGCAAAAAGAAACTATTTTTGGAGTGTAACCTGGCGCGATAGTAAAAGAACTCCGGAAAATGTATACATTTGCCCGGCCAATGGAAAAACAAAGCCAAATGATTTTTGAGTTTACCGCTTTTTTTGCAACTAATGCAACTGGGCATCAGGTTCTTTCAAAACTTTGTCAATGAATTAAATTAAATTTAAGTTTTCGTCTTCTAAAATCATAAACCTCTTCAACTTTATACAGTATATTCCTAAACCATCCCGACAAAAAACAAAAGAACAAAAAACAGCAAAAACTGACGAGAACACCAATTTCTTAATTTCTTACCAAAGTTAAAATAATGCAGTTGATTTTTAGAACTTCGGTATCAAAAACTCAGCCCAAAAGTTGGTCATTTTCTGCTCTTTTATTTCACCTACAGTTGCGCCAAAAGTTACGAGCTAATTGTTGCGCAAGTTATATCAAAGTAAATCTCTTTAAAGAAGTAAAATATCCGAAAAAAACCTCATAAAAGTTGCATAAACAGATTAATTTTTTGTCAGCAATCAAAAAATTTCGTCTGACTAAGCAACAACAAAATAATTTTCATTTCAAATTTCAAAAATTTTAACGCATAATTTTTTGAATATTGAATAAAATTAGAATTTTTTGGTCTACACCATGAGTTCAACTTTGATAAAAAGTGTCCAACAACTGGCCTGGTATTGTTGGCGGGTTTTAAATTGAACAAAAAGATTTGTTTTCCAGAATTTCTCCAATATTTATATATGAGCTATTTTCGGTTGATTTTTTGTTTTCATGACTTTCGGTCATAATATGACTAATTTGTTTTTAGTTGGTCAGTCTTTTTTTTCTAGTTTTCCTATTCGAATGCTTTCACATCTGTTTGGTAGGGCGAAAATTTTTTTGTCTTTTTTGATTGTCTCATCATTTTTGTAGAGAACGTTGTCTGCTGAGTTTTTCTTAAGTGGAAAGATACTTCTCATTCAAATTTGGTTTTTCTTCTTTTCTTTCTTACGAAATCAGTTTACACCGATTGAATGAGTTGAAATTATACACAAGGGCAGGCAGGGATCTAGGATTTTCTCGATGCGGGGGACGAATTTTCGAAAAAAATTCGAAAATTTTGTCGACTTTGGTATTCGGTCAACCAAACAGATTTTTGGAGCTCTTCTTAATCTTTATAAAGACTAAATGTTATCAGGCACATTTTTCAAAAACAGGCTAAAATAGAGTTTTTAGGCTTTTTGAAGTTGATAAAAAAATTATGTTTTTTTTTGTACGTCCCCCCCCCTAATGTTCCTAATGCAGCCGAAGGCGTCTCTAGAAAAACTTTAAGGTCAGTCAGCTAAAAATTGATGTTTTAAAATAGTATAAAAGCGAATTTTTAGGGTCGGCGGGGGATCAAATCCCTGGGGGGGGGGGACAGACTCCCTACTCAAAACCGCTACTGCACAAGCAAAAATAATAAAAACCTGAAAGACCTTGTCCGAAAACCAATTGTTTTTTTGCTCTTTTTTTCCGAGCAAAGTCAGTTCCCATATTCTGTGATTGGAACAAAAATATTGATGATTAGTTGTCTTAATTTTCAGTAAGAGAGCGAGGGTGGATTTTTAGAGGAATAGCCAAATTAATCTTGAGCGAACAAAAACAATTTTTTTTGTCCATTTAAAGAGTTTTGAACAAGGAGCTACGCTTTTTCTTTTCGCTTGCCCAAAATATGAGTATCTTGTTGTAATGGGCAAATATGATGGGCAAAATAAAATTAAAGGTGAAAGCAGAAAAAGTATGAAAACTGAAAGTTCAGTTTTATAATTCATACAAGCAATTTGAAATCCGATCAAGATTTTCATTTGTTGAGACTGTTTTTATCCAAAACGGACAAAAATGTGCTTCCTATTTCAATTTGTTGCTTTTTTATTGCTTCATGTTTTGATTGGAACGTTTTGGCTCTGCCTAATGGACACAAAATCAAATTTTGAGAAGAAAAAATCAAGAAATTTAATTTTGTGCTCTTTTCCAGTTTCCCATCCCCTTGTAAAATTACAAAAGAAAGTTGTTCAAAAAAGATCACAGGGCAGTTTGCATCATAGAATTTTTGCAGCAATTTGTTCACCTGTTCACGCTGACACGTTTTAATGCAGTTTATGGCTCGTTTCCAGTTTTCCACCCGCCTCGTAAAATTACAAAACGAAGCTGTTCAAAAATTGTTCACACGGCAATTTGTATGTTGGAAATATTGTGGAAAACTGTTCACATGTTCACGCTGATACGTTTTGATGCAATTTATAACATGAAAAATTGTTTTAATTAGACTTTCATATATTGAAGTAGAATTTCAGAAAAAATTAAAGGGGGGAGGAGATGGAAAAGAACCTAATTATGACATGAAATATCAATTTGAAGAGACTTTCGCATTATGAATCTCAGATAACAATCAAAGAGGGGACCGGAAAAAGGCGGAACTTTGTTCCGACCGAGTTTTACGTCACAAAAACCACAAAACACGTGCGTAAAAATGATTTTGTGGTTTGTCCAGCCAAAAGTATGCAAATCAAAGACCCAAAGTAGCAATGTTTTTTAACACTTCCAACTGCTCTTTTTTGCTTAAGAGCATATTCTGACATGAAAACTGCAAGAAATTTTTTTAATCAAAAATTCACGCACAAGGAAAATGCAACTCTTCCTGTTTTTATGAAAAAAAAATTACAAGAAAAAAAAGTTATACAGCAGTTTTTCCTTTTTTTAATAGTTTTTTCACCCGGTTGAATAAGATTGCACTTTTCTGCGATAGGGTTTTGTTTTTATGAAACCAATATTTTTCCCGAAGCATTCGTTTTTTTGCTTTCGAGTCAATGATGCAATTTTCTTTCTTATTGATTCATTTAAGCAAACTGTTGCATCAGCCAATGTGTCTAGGGTAAAAAGGCAACAAAAGTTTATCTTGTCGCAAAAAAGACGAGTCACAGCTGGCCTGAGACATGACGAGACATGACTTTGTCAAATTGTTGTCGACTATCAAAATTGGATTGATTTAGATAACGCGAAAGAGCTTGCAAAAATTTAAACTCACCTGCCGAGCAACTGAAAATTGACAAGGTCATGAGTGAAATTTTTTGTTTCCAAAATCAAAACATTAGCAATTAGTTTTTTTGCTTGCAATCAAATTTTGAGTTTTCTATGTTGGTTCTCTTTAGTTCGAACAACATCATTGCAAATAAGACCAGAATATACCAGAAAAAATTTAAAACAAAGAAGGGACACATGATATAATTACTTTCATTACAATTTTGGGTTCTTGATTTGCTTACACTCGAAAAAAATGCATGTGAAATAAATTGTTTTATTATGTTTATTTTTTTCTCATTTTTTTCCTCGTTGGTTTTGTTTTTCATGCAATCATAAACAAAAGCATTGCAGCAGCTTAGGAAACACAATGAAGAAATCAGAAAAAAAAGTTGAAACAATTGTGAAACCGAATAGATAATATCTTGCCTTTTTTTTGCTTTTCTCTCAGGTTTTTGAGACTGCTGGAGCTGGTTCGCGTTTGATTAAAACAGAAAAAATGTTGAATAAAATCGTTAACATTTTATCAAAAAATTTAGTAAAATTTATGAAAGTAAGATTTTAAGTTCCCTTTACCAGCTTTTTTTAAACTTTAATTTTTTTAACCATTTGTTCCAACTAAAAATCTTCTGCTGAGCAGAAAAAAATTAAATTATAAATTCTAAAATTTCATGATTTTATGAAAGAAAACTGCTGAGAGTTGCATTTTCCTTGTGCGACATGAACTCAGGATAGATTTCATGTCAGAATACGCTAGTAAGCAAAGAAGAGTTTGTTTTTGCTCTTTCACACGTGTTCTTTCACGACAAGGCATGAATGAAAAAAGAAATCATTTGCATAGTTTCGCGCATTTTTCAAGAGCCGCAAAAACAAACAGAAAGGGCAAAAACATTTTCTTCAACAGTTAGAACATAGTTAAAGATGGCCTCGGGCAAAAGAGCCGCCATCGGGCACTTCGTATCTTTCAACTATGTTCTAACTACTACAAGAAATATTAGGAACGTGGACAAAGAAATGTTAGGCAAATCCAGTGATCTATATTTTATAAACGTTTTTCAGTCATTATTAGAGGTGCAAGTAAAATCATCCAAAAAATCTTCGAAAAAAGTTAGCAAACATTTTTGAGCGATCATTTTCTGGGCAAATTTTGTGGTACTTGCACGCCGATTATCCTTTTTTAGATTTTCTTGTTTATTGTAGTCATGGACAGACGAGCAGCTAACTTGGAACAAGGATGACTTCGACAACATAGACATGGTCACAGTTCCTGCAGACTGGATTTGGCTGCCAGACATCGCCATGTACAACAATGCAGACGGCAGCTACCAGATCACGACCATGACCAAACCCTGGATATACCACAATGGCACTGTGTCTTGGAGGCCCCCTTCTATATATAAGAGCAGTTGCAGAATAGATGTCACATTCTTTCCTTTCGATCAGCAGATATGCAATATGAAATTAGGTAAGAATGATAACAAAAAAAATATTGAAGCCCTGGAAAGAAACCAGCAAGAGGAAAACACGCGCTGACGTTTTAACAGCGCCAGAGTCGTTCTTCTGATACCACAATAAAAATGCAAATAGTCAAATATTTGTGATCTGCTTGCGAAGACTTTTTGCAGCCAAAACAATTATGTTAATTCATAGAAGTTACAAAAATAAGATTTTTTTGGGGTAAAACCTCATGAAGAATTGAATGAGAGGATTTTTGGGCAATTTAAATATTTTCAATTTCACTTTTTGTACAAAATAAGTAACATTTATGAGCAGGAATGCGAGCTGATAAGAAACATATATAATCCAAAAACTTCGGTGAAAACCCTCAGAAAGTTCTGGTTTTATCAGGTCCGTGGACACATGATACGAACTTAGTGGACATGACCAGTTTCTCCCACGCAGACATGAACATGTTGAAGAAGAGTGGGGAGTGGGAGATCATCGGCATCCCCGCCCAGAAACACATCATCTCATACGAGGAGTGCTGCGGGGCAGTGGCCTATGCTGACGTCACCTATTACGTAATACTGCAGAGGAAGCCACTCTTCTACACCATGACTCTAATTGGCCCCTGTGTGTTGATATCTTTCCTCACAGTCTTGGTCTTCTATGTACCTTGTGAGGAGGGCGAAAAGGTCATTTAACTTATTTCGAGTTTTTCATGTAACTTTTAACTAAGTCTTTCACAAACTTTTCATGTTTAAGATGCTATTCTATTCTAACCATGCCTTCCACGGAGTTTTACTGCTTTTTTTTCTATAAAATGCTGGAAATCTTTTTTGAAATATACTGATAGCTTTCAGTTTTAAATTTAAAATTTTATCATTTTAAAAACTTGAATATTGCGATAAGTGATTTCTATATTTCTTTCAAATATTCAGGTGACGCTGGCCATCTCAGTGTTGCTAGCCCTGACTCTGTTCCTCCTGCTCATAGCAGACATCATGCCAGCCACCTCCCTCGTCATACCACTCATAGGTAAAAATACTCCGACTTCCTTAGAAAAACAAACAAGATCAACGCGAACGCTCCAGACAACACTAGCACCCCAAAGAACGTATATCAAAAACACTTTTCTCAAATCAGCCTAACGGAAACTTAGTCTGAATACAAAAGTATTCACACCAGTTTTTCTCGTCTCTGAGACTTTGTTATGGATTCTGACCTCGACTGAAAGGTATTTAATAAATTCATTTAGCCATATAGTAAGTTCACACCCCTTAATCCATTATCTCCTGCGCACTTAGCCTAGAGACAACAAATAGGCCTGGGACTGTAAAGGTCCTGGGTCGAATCTGACCAGGACCTAGTTTTTGAAACGAAATATTCTGTTTCAAATAAAACTGTCGGCCGAATATTTGTCTGCTTATGTTTTGTCGGTTTAGTTGCCAATCTAAAAACTATTTATTTTTGCTGTGAAAAAATTGTTGTTATAGTTTTTTTAAATAGTTTTAGCATGTTAAAATTCCGACCAATTCCAAATTTAGTTTTTACATTGCTTGTAATTTTACCTACTCAATTTGTTAAATTTTCTTGTTTTTTTTTCGGATTAAACAGTTTTCGTTTTTGTATCGACTTTTTGGCCTCCTTTTGCGTCGTTTGAGGACCGAAGTTTTTTTGTGTGCGTGTGTGAGTTCTGACGGGAAAAAGACTAAACATTTTTTTTTATTAGCTTGATTTTTTTTCGTCTCGTAGGGTTTCTGCTAAAGAATTTTTGGCTTTGTTAACCCTTGGTAATTATAAATTCAAAGTCAATCAACCATCTGGTGCATATGGCGTAGAAGTAATCCATCCAACTGCTGGAGACGGCAACGGCTTGTGGTTCGAGTCCGGTCGGGATCTGTTTTTTTTTTGTTAATCAGAGTCTTTGTGCTTTTTCTGACTATCGTCGGTCGGTTTGTTTTTGGCGGCTTAATTCCGGTAGCCTGACATTTTAAAGGTTCACTTTTCTTCAAAGCTGCTGTAACACCCATGCTTGAGACCCCAATGTCCCGGAGTTCGATTCCAGTCGAGACCTGCTTTTTTGAAACCTCATTTTTTATCGGCTTAATTCCGCTGAAAAGACTTTTTGAATAATCGGCTCGTTTATATCATTCCAAAAGCTCCTTGTATAGTTTTCAATGTCCATGTAATTTTTTTGGTATTATGGGTTTTTCGTGCAATTTTAAATAATATAACAACTTTTTGAATTTTTTCATTTTTTTTGTTTGATTTTAATCATAGTCATTCATTTTTGTATCTTAAGCTCAGCTTCGCCTCTGCGTATCAAATCGGATATCTGGCTTAGCGGATGTTTGACAAATCGAAAGTTTGCCCTATACACTTTTGCTTAGCGTCCCCTGCTGTTTGTAACGCATATTGTTGCATGCTCTTGTCTTCTGAATGTTGTATTTTTTTAATACAACGTTTTTTCAATATGATGCAAGCAATGGGTAAAATTAGGCCGATTAAAGCTATAAGAAATCTGGTGTAAAATTGGTATCGAACAAAAAATTTTGTTCCTTCACATACTTACCGTAGAATGACAGCTTAAAACATATCAGAAACGTAGATAAAAATTCTACAGTTGATGAACCAAATCTATTGAAATGTGGCTAGGGTTTTTCGTCTTAGAAAACAACTTGAATAATTGCGGATTATTGCTAAGTTACAATTCATATAAATATGTGTTTTGTAGGAAAATACCTGCTGTTCACCCTCATCATAGTGACCATGTCTCTCATCTTCTCAGTGGTCATCCTGAATGTGCACAACAGGGGTCCAGGCAACACCAAGATGCCCTCCTGGATCCGCTCCGTCTTCATCGACGCCATGCCTAAATTCCTCCTCATGAAGAGACCAGAGAGTGGAGAGGAGTTCGTGCCCATCTGGGAAAGAGTGGGACCCAATAACGGGCAACCAGGTAAACTTGCATTATAGTTTTTCAATTTTTGAAGGTTTGTATACTTTTCTACAATTACCAAGCAGTTTTTTTGTCACCTTTTCTATTGATAACTAGTATCTTTTTTAATTGGTTTCTAGTTTTAATTAATTTGCATTTCATTTTTTTTTCATTTAAAAAGCTCAAAAAAACGAACATTTATTTGCAACATGAAACTGCGGAAAAACCAAACAAGTGAAGGTTTTACCAACACTAATTATTTTTCCAACACTAAAAAGAAAAATCTCAATTTACTTCTTCCTATGAGAAAGACTCCGGACAACATGATGATGTTTCAGAAGATGGTTTGTTCTTTTCATCCAAATCATGGCGTGATTTCCAATCAATTATATAATTTCAAGTGTTTCCTTTAATTTTCAAAATTAACTTATTTTAACATCATTTAACTATCATTGTTCAATAAACTAACTGCGGCTTTTTATAATTTTTTGTTTTTGCCCCGATTGATGATTGTTTTTTTACTATAGTTAGACAAAACTCAATTTAAAAAACCAAATTGCAGATGTTTATAGACAAAATAAATTTCAGTATTGTGGTCAGAACTTGAAATAAATAGATTACAAGACGGTTTGAGTGTTCGAACTGCCTTCTACTTGTTTCACGTAGTTTTTGACTTTTAAAAAGTGTAAACTGTTTTTTGAATTTTTATGAGTTGCCTTTCAATGTTGTTTGTATCCGTTCCCCACCCTGTGGAAAATACTATTTTGGTTGCTAGTATCTTGTTTGATGTCCAAATTGTTCTAATTACTTGACTGTCTTAAGTCTAAGTTAACAGCGAGAAGATCCTATAGGGCAAAAATTTTCCTTTAAGTTGTAAAAAACTTAGTTTAAGCCTCAAGAAAACTGGTTTTAGAAACATATACTGCAAACAAATAGATTAGAAAATCTTGAGAGCCGAACGTTCAAGTTTGCAGTCATCTTGATATGCATATTAATATTAAAATGGCTCAGGATTGAATCAATGACTCGTGAGTCTTAAATTGGCTTCAGTAACAAGAGTTTAATTTAGACAAACATCAAACATTAGACATCTAATCTTTTATGAAAAAAGTGAGGAATATAATAATTATAATAAATTGTTTCCAAACGATTTCTAATTACAAAAGTTATTTATAAAAATCTATAAATACAAATTAGAATCGTTTGGGAGAACACCATTAAGCCAACAAGGCCCGTTTTCAGGTGTCTCATTAAGCGGAAAACAAAAAAGTACTTAAATTCTTTGATCCAATGCAATGGATCTTCCACCGATAACCATTTATTAAACGTAAAATATCTTTATTTGCACCTTTAAATCATTCTCTATAATAAAAAATTTAATTTAGTTTTCTCAAGTAGTCTTTTCTACCCATAACTTAGAAACCAACAGAAACAAGTTCTACTTATTGATCAATAAAAAGTCTCAAAGCATGCCCAGTAAAATCGTATTTCCTAGAATGTAATTATCCAAAACATTATGGTTAAAACTATTTAATTGAAATCGAGAAGCCCCTTTCAAGAAATTGGCCCAGATGGGAAAAAAATTTATTACAAAGTTGAACATTTTTCTAATTTTAGGTGTAATCGACCCTCTGTTGAGTTTATTTCTGTTTATAGCTAACTTTTGATTTGTTTTTCGCTTTGAAAAAAAATCACGTTCAATTCTTGTTCAGTAATAGAAAATCTCAAGGTTTCAACTTGGCACTTTTTTCGAGTAGTTTTTCCGGTTAATTTCAGAACTTCGTAAGCAAAAAAATTCTCTTACGGTATATTTTATTATCATGCATTATTTCAGTGATTGAATCCATCCTGTGTTTATAAAAAATTATTCTGATTAGCCTTCTGATTTTCATTTCCAGTTCTAACAGTTTGGTACTGTCGGTATTTTCATAAACTAACACTCCATATTGGATGATTGGTTGCACGTACTTTTATACGCAAATATTAATTGCCGTCCAGTTAGAAATTTTCTCAATTGAAAAAACACTCCACAGAGTTGCAAAATTTTGTTCTTTACCTTATCAATATGCTGATGAAATTTCAATTTTCACTCAAGGAGAATTCCAAGATGTTTAAAACATTCTACTTCTTCTATTTGGGCGTCATTTAAAAAATATTTTACTGGTCGTTCTTAAGTTTTCCTACTCCGACAGTATCTCATGGTCTTGGTTTGTTTTGTCATTCAGTGTCAATTTGTTCTTGTCTAAACCAATAATTCACTTCAAGCAAAGCTGATCTATGTGCGAAAGCAATATAGTCTTTGTTGTTTGTGGATTTCAGAACAGTATCATCAGCATACAAAAGTACCCCTGTGTTTTTTGTGGCTATTTGTAGATCGTTTTTGTATAACATGAACAAAAGTGGGCCCATGATAGATCCTTGAGGTACACCAAAAGATACCAGTTTAAGTTCGGTCTTAAAAGAGTTAGTTTCAATGTACTGATAGCGATTGTCAAGGTAAGATTCCAAGAGATTTAAGACAGGCCCTCTGAATCCCATTTGTTCCAATTTTATTAACAGATTAGAGTGATCAACTGTGTCAAAAGCTTTTGTTATGTCTGCTTGGGGTAGTTTTTGCTCAGGCCAATTTCGGCAAAGAAGGAAGAGAGTGGGGATCGAACAAGATATTCAAGTGCTACCAAGCGTGTGTGCTTTGCACTATCTTAAATGCTCGTTGAGTAATATAAATTGCTACTGCAAAAAATTGAAGACTTTTTATCATGCTGAAAGATTTAAACTGCGTGAACAGTTTATACCCAACTGAAATTTTTTTTATACGACTCAAGTTCTAACCTATTTTTTAAAATTTTATATTGATTGTCCAAAAAAAAATAACAAAGTTATCTTTCTTTCTTTCTTTCTTTCTTTCTTTCTTTCTTTCTTTCTTTCTAATCTTGGTGGGTACTCCACGCCTTAACCAATTCCATTAACACGATTAGGGAACATGCTTTGAAGCGGTTGTGTACACCGTTTTATGAGTAGTTCACCATCCTGCCTCCATCAGCATCCGTATATTGCAACAGTTTGTGTTAACCCGATTTCGTTCGCCAACTCTGGGTGTACAAGGTTCTGGAGCAAGTGCAATAAGGAAACGCCTGTAATTTTAAAAAGAAAAAAGTGCGGTCCAATAAGAGCACCAAAAATAAAATTTGTTGATTGTTCGTTACAAAAATTGTCTTTCGTAATTTTGCATGGAAGCGTTGCGGCGTAGCATCTTATATTTTGCGAGTTAACTGATCACACAGAGGAAAAGAGTTATCAAACGATAGTTTTGAGCATGTGATAATTTCGGGAAAACGAGTAGTGCGTTGTCCGTTAAGATTTTGTTCTTTTTCTATTCTTTTTTCAAAGTGGAACCTGATCTAAACTATATTTTATGATTGGATAAATTAGATATTTTACCACTGTAAAGTATTTAATATTAACCAATCATGATCCATCTAACTAACAACCCACTTATTTGTAAGTGCTGAAAATACTTGTAATTTCAGCACCAGAGAGATTTGAATTTAACTTAGAAATTAGTTGTCTCTCCAAGAGAACTTCAGCAGCCGCAACAAACCAGTATACCCTAGATCTATTGAGCCTAGCAGAGACTAGTTAAACACCCTGAGACTAGAAAGTATAAGAGTAAGATTAGGATCGGTATTAGACTAAGAAGTTGCACGAATCTATCCGGCCGAAAATAAGATAGCGTGACGAGCAGACGGTGTACCCTATCCGAAATTACTCTATGAGTTAACCACAAAGGACCTAACTCAAAAGATATCTGTGGTCAAATGGTACTAATTTACTTTCACTATTGAACCAATAAGCTCCAGACTTTTGTTCAGAACCACTCTTCATAAACAAAAACAACATAGTTTTAAAAAAAGAAACCACTTTTTTGGTTGGAACTTTCTAAGCTACTTACGCAGCAACCGTATACTCCTGTTGAAAATATTGTTTAGATGATCTGCTTTGGAGGCAATGTTTTTTTTTCTTCATTTTTAAAACCATAATCCGGGAATAAGCGGCTTGTAACCTTAATTTTATTGCAACAGGTAGACTTTATCCTCGGAACATCAACCCCCTCATCAACCTGGGCGAGTTTGACGCCACAAATCAGCTGAAGAAGGAGAAGATGAAGAAAGCGGTGGACAGTGTGCTCTACATAGCCCAGCACCTCAAGAACGAGGACGACAGCAGTGCTGAGAAGGATGACTGGAAGTTCGTGGCTATGGTCATAGACCGGTCTCTTCTCTACACCTATATTGTAATGTGTGTCATAGGTAGGTCATGTGTGTCATAAATTGAGGTTTTTTGTCATACCTCTGTTGTTTTTCAAATTCCTGGCCTTTGAGAAAAGTTTAAGGTTTCTAGTCTAATTAAGGGTATGTGAGCGATTGGGTCTTATAAAGGGAACATAAGCTTCTAATTAAGCGGTGAAATTTAGTTTTACAAAAAAAAACTACAATTCGAAGCTGCAGACAGCGCAATCTGGGCAATAAAAGTTTCTAAAATAAATTGTTTGCATTTTTTTTGTTCTGTTATTTATTTACCGACTACAATTGTAGTCAATTATGCCCGTTTTATGTCATAAGCTCTAGTCTTTTTTTTAATTACGCCACGCACAAAAAATGTCTCAAAATTTTGAAAGTGAAAAAAGTGCTTTTCTAATTTTTTATTAATTTGGTCAACTTTCTGTGCTTCTTACATAGCAACTGACTATTCTTCTTTAACTTTTGGTTCTGATTACAGGCACAGTTTCCATCATATTTAACTCGCCAGCCATTTACGATCCAGACAGCAGTCAGTTCCGGATGGACCAGATGTATGACATCCGGTTCAATCAGCACGCGGCCGACAACACTGCCTGTCCCGGTCTCTACTGGACGAAGGATGAGACGACGGGGTCCGACAAGAGTGTAATTCACAGACCCCTCGGCTGGGACACGCAGACGTTCTACGAAGACTTTTGAAATAATTTTGACGTAGTTTTGAATTTTCCATCGTCAGAGATCTGAAAAGTATGCAGAGCAAAATAGCGAAATTTCAGTAAAATGGTTTAAAAGAGAAAATAAAAATTGCATTTTTGCATATTTTTTTCTATTCGCTTATTCGGGCTCATAGCTTAGCGAATTAGCGCATATATGTGGGATTACTTTGCTATCAATCTCGCGTATTTTGATTGATCGACGATTGAAGGATACTTTCATGGGAGATTTGATTTAATGGTAAATTTATTTGTATTTAGCGAACTTATTGATTGCTTTTGTCACATATGTTTTTATTGACACCAATTTTACTCTCTGAACATTTTGTCGAACAGGCCAAAAAGAATAATAAAGTGTTTGGCTGGGTTGCTGAGCGAACTCGTAAATAATTGTCTCGACTCGACCTATTATTTCGATTTTCTAAGTTACTGTTCGGTAGTGGACGAGAACGCTGGGTTTTCATAGTACTGTTTTTACTTTGATACTGTGCAATCTCCCGGGAGAATTAAATTTACGCAAGAATGAAAATGAACACATGATTGTTAAATACAATTGTACCACGTTTTACTCGTAAAATCATATTACTGATACAAAAAATGTTAGATTATACTAATTTATTATACAGAGCTGATTTGAACTTTTCGCGCAAAAAACGAACAAAAATGGAACTTTTAGACGCGTTTTTCTCAAAATGGGGTTAAGATTAGACAAAAAGTGAGGAGAACAGAAATTACTTTAATTTTTAACAGAACTATTATGATGCTTTTTTTTGCAAAATTCAACTATATTTAACCCCAAAAATTTTTTTTGGCTTATTTTTAATAAAAATCAAGAATTACGCTGAAGCTACTTAGTCGGTCGATCATTGAAATAGTGGTATCAAAGTGAGCCACCTCCCAAAAAATTTAAAGAACATTGTACACTCCAAAAAACTGCGCAAACCGTTTAAAAACAGTTTTTTTTAAAAAAAGATGGTGTGTTATTTGGTGTGTAATAAAAACGACTTGTTTTGTCTATCAAACAAAGTTAAAACAAGGATAATGTGCAAGTAGCACAGAATGCAACGATACTGTGCATGTAGCCAGTTACTGTGCAAATAGCACAGAATTTTCCGACCACACTCTTGGAAAAACACAAAAACATTTTTTTTTCATTAGAAAATACAAGTTAGGGTCGTTTTTTCCACAAGGTGTGGCAAAAAGATCTAAACGAAAACAAAAATCGGATAAATTTGACAGTCATAATAAAAAAACCATCCGGAAAACAATTTTTGAAGAAAGTTGACCAGAAAAACGAAAAAATTTGAAAAAAACTTTAAACGTGTTAAAAAATTGTTTGAACAGTTTTTGACATGTTTTTTGCATTTTTTAACCTTTGTTCAATTTTTGGCGATAAAAAATTCCAATAACTACTTTTATTTGAGTAAAACTAAGTTTTCCCGACTTAAAGTAACGCTCACTAAAGTAAGCCTACAAGCTCACTCCATATTAGTCCGAAATTAGACCAAAAACTTTGGTCTAATTTCGAACTAATTTCAAACCAGTTTTTCTAGACACTGTGAAAAGTTTGAAATTTTTTCAATGTTCTTCGAATAACAATTGAAAGGGCTCTAATATGATATATCACTTGATCCATTTAAATAATTGTATGTGGTGCCTGGTTTTGCGTGGAAAACAAAAGAAACTAAAACACACCCGAATACAAAGTTCTTCCCCATTTTTCAAATGATTGAACAATAATTTATATATATTTTTGCAGTGTAGACTTTTCATGAATTTTGTTGTGCTATGTATTAGACTCACTGCAATATATTTCTGTAGAAGGTCCAATATGTAGTTTCAGCGTTATTTTCGATTAGCTATAATGTCAAAATTGGTTCGTTTGTGGTGCAAAACTTTTGTGTTTTAACTTTGCAAAACAAAGTTTGACATTATAATTCTGGTTGATTTCTAAGCTAAAAAATGTTTCATCTTTTTCCACCTTAACTTGCCCAATTTGGGAAAAACACGTTTTTAATTCGAGTTTTGTCCGGATAATTTAATCAGCACTGTATTCTAATAAAATTAATGATGTTCAAACAAGGAAAAAATTTAATGCATCTTCGAATAAAAATAAGTTGTTTTCATAGGACTTCTATTTTGATAGCCATAAATATGTTTTCACTAAACACAGATAAAAACTTTTCAATTATAAGTTTTTTGTTTTTAATTTTCAACTTTTCTATCTTTTTTTTTCACGTTAGACTGCCGCTTTTTTATTTAATGTATTTTTCTTGAAAAGTAGTTATTGTTCTTTTGTTTCTGCAGTTGCGCTTTTGTTATTACTGATCAGGTTTATGCATGCTAATACGTTCATTTTAATTGCCTGCAAATAATACTAGTTTTATGAAGGAATTGTTTTGAACAAACAAGATTGAAACTGATACCACAATTAATTTTAGTGTAAAATCAGATCAAAATTCGACTTTTTTCTGTCACAAGAGCCCTGCTTTTCAACTGGTGTTTATTGTTCCGACTTTCAAAGAAAGTTAGAAATATATTTGCTCAGGGTGTTTTTATTCATAGCAATTTTAAAAAACATTGGTCCCTCGGGGTATCACGCGTGGGCCCAGTTGGAAATGCACTCCACTATACACTATAGTCACCTTCAACGAGTCTGTCCAAACTGCTCGTTTTATAATATACACGAATTATCCCGCAATACAAAAATAATCCAAAATGAATTGATGGCTCTTTTTCCTACCCCCCCCCCCATTTTTTAAAAAATTTTGCCAGTGCTTAATTTACCCAAAAAAAATTGAGATCAAATAAATGGCAATCGAAACATTCAGTGCCTTACCTTGAAAAAAAACAGTTTTATTATTTATAGTCAATTTAAAATTGTTAGAGGTTTTTTATTAAGTATAGTCTTTTGGACAAGTAGCAGCAAAAAAAATAAGCTTTTTAAATCTCATTTTTCTTCAGTTTTCCGAATTTCAATACAGCTAGAAATTCGACTTATGCACTCAAATGAAGAAATTTTGTAACATAATAATTGTACAAATTTTGCTCGCCGGACATGTTGATTTTGGTGCATATTTCAGACGCTAAAATACCCTTTGTACTGTTTTTTCTCTACAGATGATTTGTTGTATAACAAAAAGGTTCCCAAAACTTGTTTCAATTTTTTATTCCCAAGTCCCATCCTGGAACAAAAAACTCTAGACCTACCGCACTGTGGTTTTTAAAATACAGGGGGTTACAATTAGCACTGTTAATAGACGCCATGATTGCTATTTTTTTGTAACCGTTATTTACAAAACTTCTTTAAAAAATTACCGCTAGTTCATCGCAAAGTGTGTGTGTGTGTGTGTGAGAGAGAGAGAGAGAGAGAGGAGAGACATGTTTGCACTCTCGCGTCGTAATCATTTAAAACACGCTGGCTTGAGCTAGTTTGAATCAGCAGTTTTAAAGATTATTTTGGTAGTTGTTAGGAATTATTTAGCAAAAAAATTTATATATTTTTCAAAAAGTGGTACAAGATTTTGAAACTTATACTCAGGGGTGGATTGACTGATATAATGAATTTAAAATGGAAAGTTTCATCGACCAGCACAAAAATATATTTCATAAATCAAAATTTGTCAAAAGAAAAAATTTTATACAGTAAAAACACCAGATTAAAAAATGTTTTTAACATCATTAACAATCTATAGTTGGAGATTGGTCCATGTCCTTAGAGATCGTCTATGACTGATCCCCATTTATAAATTTCAATTACTTTTTGATTGTTTTTTTTTGACTTGGCAGAAATGACCATTTAAACGGATTATGGTTTGTCTTACTTTTCTAAAATGAGGCTATCGAAACTTTGTCAGTTGATGCATGTTCATATTTTCAAGGTTTATGATAGTGGAGTGGTCACTAAAATTAGAGCAGACAACTCATTACGAGGCCAAACTGCATTTTGAGAATTGTAAGCGAATTTCGAAACAAGGACGCTCCCTTTGTTCTTTTTTTGTTCTTTCTTTTTCTTTGATCGTTCCGACAAAATTTTAACATGATAAAGATTTGTCTCTGGAACCCAAAACCATACAGACAAAAAATTGTGCGCCTATCCAGTGCACAGTTTGGCCACATAAAGCTTAATTTTTTTTACGGCTAATAATGGGGACAGATAAAATACCATAGAAATTTGAAACTTATCAAAAATGTTCACTTACACACAAGCCGATCAGCTTTCATGAAACTAATACTACCCATAACATTCCGGCTACCGATATCCTAAATTTGGTAGCAAATGAGCAAACAATATTAACTGATTTGTTTTACTGTTCCATGATATGGTCTGCTCTTCCAGAATTACAAATTTAGTTACAGGAAGTTCGCAATCTCGCACTCAGTAAAAAGAGAAAATAATCGATTAAATTATAATTATAATCGTACTTTTAGCAAAATTATAATTAGTTATGAGCGTCAATTTAAGATGTTTAAACGATTTATAATCCATTATAACGATAACATTTTTGGTGTGAATTCAATAAATTACAATCAATTATAATTGATTATAATTTTTCCGAAAGTCTCTTATAATCTCTTATAATCTCTTGTAACATCTTATAATCTCTTATAATCTATTATAATAGATTAAAATCCCTTTTTCTATCAAAATCGTTTTTTTACAAGAAAAATGAAATACAATGGATTATAATTTAGCTATTCTGCATGAAAACACTGTAAAAATCAGTAAGAGGTAAGAAATCAGTAAACCAGCGGCGGATATGAGATTTTCTCGAAATGAGGAGGCGGATTTTAAAAAAATTATCAAAAACTTTATTGACTTTTTTTAAGTCGACCAAAATGGTTTTACGAGGTCTCACAGAGCACTTAAAAGACCCTGTTTTGGCCAAGTTTGGTGCACCGCAATCAAACTTTTGAAGAAACAGGCCAAAATTGACTTTTTTAGGCGTTTTTTGGAAACATTTCACCAAAAAATCACGTTTTTTTTTGCGCGCGCTCCCCCTCAAAATTAGTTTTTATTGGCGTTAAATATGGATATCTCAAAACAGT